CAGCCCCCGCACTCCCCACCGTCCATCCCTGCTGTGCTGGCCCTCCCAAGAGAGGCAGAGACGGCCATGGTGAGCCCGGAGTGGTCAGCGGAGGGCCAGGCCCTGGTGCGTGCCTGTGGGCAGAGGGTCCTGGAGTAGGAGATCCGCCGGCGCTGGCTCTGGACCAGGAGATGACGGTGCCTGGCCCGGAGGGGCACCTGGCAGGCACACTGCTCTCCCGCCTGAGTACTGACTGAGCTCCTCAAGGACGGCGGGCAGGGCTGGACTGGCCAGCGGTGCCCCTCGGCGTCCTGTTCCCTTCCTGCTCTGTCCGGGCTGTGCCTGAGGCTTCATAATAAAGTCATGTGACAACCATGGAGACTGAGGCTCTTCCCCCAATGGCATTCGGGGCCTGAGCACCTGGTGCCCCCTCAGTCTGAGGGGCAGTCATTCCTGCCGAGGAGTCCCCGTGCCAGCCTCCGTCACCACCGGGCAGCTCTCCCACCGCGGCCCGGTGCGTCCTGTGGGCACGCCAGCGCCGACAGCCGAGGGCGGTGCCGAGGACCGGGCTCCCCTCGGCCTGTTTCACCCGCTGGGCTCCATGCCACCTCCCCTCTGAGCACAGCGCCCCCGGTCCATGCCACCCTCCCCTCTGAGCACAGCGCCCCCGGTCCATGCCACCTCCCCTCTGAGCACAGCGCCCCCGGTCCATGCCATCCTCCTCTCTGAGCACAGCGCCCCTGGTCCATGCCACCCTCCCCTCTGAGCACAGCGCCCCCGGTCCATGCCACCCTCCTCTCTGAGCACAGCGCCCCCGGTCCATGCCACCCTCCCCTCTGAGCACAGCGCCCCCGGTCCATGCCACCCTCTGAGCACAGCCCCCCCGGTCCATGCCACCCTCTGAGCACAGCACCCCCGGTCCATGCCACCCTCTGAGCACAGTGCCCCCGGTCCATGCCACCCTCTGAGCACAGCGCCCCCGATCCATGCCACCCTCTGAGCACAGCGCCCCGGTCCATGCCACCTCCCCTCTGAGCACAGCACCCCCGGTCCATGCCACCCTCTGAGCACAGCGCCCCCGGTCCATGCCACCTCCCCTCTGAGCACAGCGCCCCCGGTCCATGCCACCCTCTGAGCACAGCGCCCCCGGTCCATGCCACCCTCTGAGCACAGCGCCCCCGGTCCATGCCACCCTCCCCTCTGAGCACAGCGCCCCCGGTCCATGCCACCCTCCTCTCTGAGCACAGCGCCCCCGGTCCATGCCACCCTCTGAGCACAGCGCCCCCGGTCCATGCCACCCTCTGAGCACAGCGCCCCCGGTCCATGCCACCCTCTGAGCACAGCGCCCCCGGTCCATGCCACCTCCCCTCTGAGCACAGCGCCCCCGGTCCATGCCACCCTCCCCTCTGAGCACAGCGCCCCCGGTCCATGCCACCTCCCCTCTGAGCACAGCGCCCCCGGTCCATGCCACCTCCCCTCTGAGCACAGCGCCCCCGGTCCATGCCACCCTCTGAGCACAGCGCCCCCGGTCCATGCCACCCTCTGAGCACAGCGCCCCCGGTCCATGCCACCCTCCCCTCTGAGCACAGCGCCCCCGGTCCATGCCACCCTCCTCTCTGAGCACAGCGCCCCCGGTCCATGCCACCCTCTGAGCACAGCGCCCCCGGTCCATGCCACCCTCTGAGCACAGCGCCCCCGGTCCATGCCACCCTCTGAGCACAGCGCCCCCGGTCCATGCCACCTCCCCTCTGAGCACAGCGCCCCCGGTCCATGCCACCCTCCCCTCTGAGCCCAGCGCCCCCGGTCCATGCCACCCTCCCCTCTGAGCACAGCGCCCCCGGTCCATGCCACCCTCCCCTCTGAGCACAGCGCCCCCGGTCCATGCCACCTCCCCTCTGAGCACAGCGCCCCCGGTCCATGCCACCCTCCCCTCTGAGCACAGCGCCCCCGGTCCATGCCACCTCCCCTCTGAGCACAGCGCCCCCGGTCCATGCCACCCTCTGAGCACAGCGCCCCCGGTCCATGTCACCCTCTGAGCACAGCGCCCCCGGTCCATGCCACCTCTGAGCACAGCGCCCCCGGTCCATGCCACCCTCTGAGCACAGCGCCCCCGGTCCATGCCACCCTCTGAGCACAGCGCCCCCGGTCCATGCCACCCTCTGAGCACAGCGCCCCCGGTCCATGCCACCCTCTGAGCACAGCGCCCCCGGTCCATGCCACCTCCCCTCTGAGCACAGCGCCCCCGGTCCATGCCACCCTCCTCTCTCAGCACAGCACCCCCGGTCCATGCCACCTCCCCTCTGAGCAGTGCCCGGACCCGGCGTGGCTCCATCTGTGGGCCTGGCTGGGCGGACATGCCACTTCGCCGCAGGCCCTGCACCTGCAGCCTGGACCCCCCCCCCCCCCCCGGGGCTGGCCAACAGGGTCACTTGACGGGGTCAGGCCTGGTGGGGAGCCCGGGAAGGCTGCTTGGCTGTGGGGCCTGGGACAGGGGACAGCTTGCTGTTGCCCGTGGGGGAAGGACTGGGCCCCCCTCACCTCACACCCCAGAGAGCGGGCATTCCTGCGTGTCCACTGGGTGCAGAGGTCGCTGAGATCTCTGAGGGCACTTTCCTGCTGGCCATGGGCTGCTAAGTGACCTGTGCCAGGTGGGGAGGAGCAGGGCAGGCCTCTGCCTCAGGCGCTGGGCTCGGCTCTGGAGCTGCGCTGCCCCTGGGGGTGCCCGGCCAGAGCAGAGCGGCCTCCGTGGGGCCTGGCCGGGAGGGCAGCGAAGTGCCAGCGTTAGGGGTGCAGGAACTGAGTCTTGGACTTCCCAAGGCGCCATCTCAGGCGGAGAAACGGGCGTGAGGCTGAGGAGGGGCCCTGGCGTGCCTCTCGGTCCCAGGAGTGCCGGCTCCGACGGCCCCGCCCCTCAGACCAGCTCAGCGGCGGGCACCCTGAGAAAGCTGCAGCTCTGGGGCTGCCCCAGGCTCCGTGCTCCCAGCTCCGGCCCTGAGGGCAGAGGCCGCCAGCACCGTGATGGGCTCTGAGGTCAGACGCCCTGGCCTGGGAGCCCCCGGGGGAAGCGCCTGCTCAGCACCAGGCTGTCCCCTCTGGCTCGGGAACCACCAATTCCATCTGAACCTCGGGCTGCGAAGCCCGGGGAGTGGGGTCCCGGGTGCCGCGGGCAGCACATCCCGATGGGATGGCGGGAGCCGGTAGCGGGGAAATGGCTCAGGCGGTGCGGGCCAGCGGGGGCGGCCATGGGAGAACGGGCAGCAGGTGGGAGCATACCACACGCACAGGAGGCCGTGCAGGGCCGCGTGAAGGAGATCTCGGCGATACATGAGCAAGTGCACGTGTGTAGGCAGCCGTGTGTATGTGACGATGCTGTGGCCAATAAAGGGCGCTAAACCCGGCATCCACAATAGGACTTAGTTTGGGAAAGGCAGGGGGCAGGGGCGGGGGGGGGCACCAAGCACTCAAAGTGACCCAGGTCCACCACCTAAGAGCCATAGTCTTCGAACGGAAACGGGACCTGGACTCAGAAAAAGCTTAAGCCGTGGGCCTCTGCCTCCGTGATGGCAAATGCCATGAAAGTGAAGACGAGGTGAGGGGAAGACCTGGCACATGTGGAGCACAGAACAGACCTGTGGTGAGAATATGCCTCGTGCTGTGGAGGACTCCCAGAGGGCATGCTGCATGCGCTGCAGAAATGGAGAGGAACAAGTTAAAAAATAGCACCGCGGTGAGTCTCACCGACTGGAAGCCGAGTGCAGAAAGCAGCCGGGGAGGGTGTGCGCTGTGACTCGGCAGAGGGGCTGCTGAGTGAAATGGCACATACACAGGTTGTGTGTGATGCGGCACTGTTTCTACTTAAAAAAGGAACAAAAGCTTAGCTGGTGTGGCTCACTGGTTGTGCACTGACTTAAGAGCCATGCAGTCAGTCCATTTCCCGGTCAGGGCACATGCCCAGGTTTTGGGCTTGATTCCCAGTAGGGGGTGTGCAGGCGGCGGCAGATTGATGATTCTCATCATTGATGAGCCTATCTTTCCCACCCTCTCTGAAATCAGTAAAAATAAAAAGTGCCCTAGCTGGGTTTGCTCAGTGGATACAGTGTTGGCCTGTAGACTGAAGGGTCCTAGGTTTGATTCTGGTCACACATGCCTGGGGGGGGGGGGGGGGCCTCAATCCCCAGTAGGGGGCGTACAGGAGGCAGCCAGTCAATGATTCTCTATCATTAATGTTTCTATTTCTCCCACTCTCCCTTACTCTCTAAAATCAACTTAATATTGGGGAGGGCAATGTTAAAATATGTACACAGATAATAATTTAATAAAAAATGTAAAATAAATTATATATATATATATATATATATATAGTCAATTGAAATAATGAAAAATTCAGTTTCCTGTGTGCTATGGTCTGGATGAACTATTTCCTTTAAAACTGAAAACTTGCTCAATGGTTAGAGCATTGGCCCTTGAACCAAAAGGTTGCAGGTTTGATCCCCGGCTATCTTTCTCCCCTTTCCTTCTCCCCCTACCTTCCACTCTCTCGAAAATTCAATGGGAAAAATTTTTCAAGTGAGAGTAACAAAAAAAATAAACAAAAAATAAACAAATAACACGTTTCCAAGAAGGTAATTATTTGTATATTTTTTGCAATATTGTAGAAAAAACATGGAAGTAACAAATTAATGGATAAGTAGAGTTGATACATTTATACCAGGAAATACCATACAGCTGTCAAAATGAGTGAGTATGGCTAAGAATCAATTTGGATAGCTTACAATAATTTGCTATGGGGGCGGGGGGGAAACTGCGGAATGTTGTGTGTGTGGAATTAAACAACATAGGTAAATATCACAAACGGACAAGACAGAGTTAACCATTATTAAGCACCTACTATGTGCCAGGTGCCTGGTTACTAATAGGGCCCTGAGCTCCTTACTAACGGTTTCTCCTCACCGAGCCCGTTTCCTGCTCCGTGAGGCACAGCCCCGCCCAGGACCCCCTCAGGCCCCTCCCCGCCAGCCGCCCTGGGACTTGGCTGCCCAGCCGGCCTCAGGCCTGGGCCGGAATCCTGAGCTGGCGCTGGACGGGAGGCCCTGTAACTCCAGCCGCTGCGCCCGCCCCTGCCCGCCCTCCGCCTCAGCGCTGCTGGGCTGCCCACAATGCCCCCATTCAGCCTGTCCCCGCTGCCAGCCTGCGCGGGGAGGGGGCTCCGCCAGCTCCAGACAGGACAGACAGCCTTCCCGTGCTGCTGCTCTTCGGGCTGGACGGCCGAGGACGGCATGGAGGGGTGAGCCTTTGGGCCCCGGAGTCTGGAGGGGGGGGTAGGAGAAGCTGAGTGGCTGCATCAAGCCCTCCCCGCACCCCAGCCCACCCGCCCCTCTCCAGGCCTCTGCGATCTGCCTGGGCAGAGACCCCAAGGGTCTCCTCACTGGTTCTAAGGAGGCAGGGAGCGGGGATGTGGGCTAGTTCCTGGGGGCAGGCCCCCCTCCATGGTCCACCCTGAACCTCAGACCCTCAGCCTCACCACAAACAGGGAGGGCACCCGCCCCAAGGCCAGGGCTGAGCCTGAGACCCCAGGAGAGAGGAAAACAGATGGGACAAAGCTGCGAGTGGAGGCCCGGGCGGAAGGAGCCCCGCGGGCAGGGCAGGCTGCTGGGCCTGAGAGCTGTAAACAGTGAGGAGGGAGCTCTGGGCTTATGGGGGCAAACGCTGAACCCCAAGTGTTTGAGCAGATTCCCACTGGAGCCAAGAGTGGGGCTTCCCAGCCCAGGCAGCCGGGTGCTGAGGGCTGTCGGCGGGAGCGGGCGTCAGCCCATCGGAACGTTGCTACCTTCCCTCTGAGAGGGTTTGGAGGCGGGAGACCCACTGGCAGCGACTGGCCCCAGGAGGCAACAGGCCCCAGTGGGTGCTGGGTGAGTGGAGGTGGGGTGGAGGGACAGATGGGAGACAGACAGGCAAGTGGACAGACCTTGCCCCAAGCTCAGCCCTAATCCCAGAGCCTCAGTTTCCCTTCCCAGTCCTGGCCGGCAAGTGACTCTTCAAGGAAAGGACAACAGGGAATAAGCAGGAGAGGAGAGGGCAAGCCATCGGCTCCCCTGCCAGCCATTCAGGCTCCTCAAGGCTCTGGACCCCACAATGGCTGGTCCCCCAAGTCTTACCCCTCAGCACGGGCTGGACCTCAGCCCTCCCCTCTGTCTTCTCGAGGTGGGTGTCCCTGTACTCCCCGCCACCACGGAGCTGGGCTGCTGCTCCGTCTCCAGCCTTGGGCCGGGAGGTCCTGCCTCTGGGCGCAGGAGCCTCCCCAAGCGGCACAGACGGACCCAGAGCATCTAGGGTTTAGCAAGGCCACAGGGAGGTGCCAGTCACCTCCGCCTCAGTTTCCCCCGGCGTGGAACGGCTGCTGAGGGGGGAAGAGGGAAAGAACACCCTCCCCGGGGCCGAAGGACAGACCGGGCTCAGGGAGCGGACAGGTGGGCCCCTGGCCCCTGGAACAACGGCGCCCCCTCTCCCTGCCCCACAGCACCTCCTCCGTCCTGCTGCTGCTCCTGCTGCTGCCGCTGCTGGGCCTGACGGGGCGCACGGCCGCCCAGCGCTGCCCGCAGCCCTGCGTCTGTGACAACGCCAGGCGGCACGTGGCCTGCCGGCACCAGAACCTCACCAAGGTGCCCCCCGCCATCCCGGAGGTCAGCGGAGTGTGAGGGGGGTGGGGGCAGCGGCTGGCATGCCAGGACCTGCCACTGCCTGGCTGGGAGGAGACCTGGGGAGTCACTTTCCTTTCTGACCCGTCTCACTCCGTGAGATGGCAGTAAGCAACAAGGCAGACCAGCTGTTTAAAACCCTCTGTGACTGGCACAAACAGGTGACCTACAGATAAATACTGAATTAGCGGCAGAGAACTGCGCATATATTGGAGGAAGATATGGTGTCTGCTCTAGAGACTCAAGAACTAGTGCGGATGGAAGTAAATGGGCATGCCCAGCCCGTGTGGCTCAGTGGTTGAGCATTGACCTATGAACCAGGAGGTCACGGCTCGATTCCTGGTCAGGGCACAGGCCTAGGTTGCAGGCTCGATTCCCAGTGTGGATTATGCAGTAGTCAGCCAATCAATAATTCTCATCATTGATGTGTCTCTCTCTCTCTCTCTCTCTCTCTCTCTCTCTCTCTCTCTCCTCTTCTTCTCTTAAATCAATTAAAAAGAATTTTTTTTAAAGAAAGTAAAGCCAAAACCGGTTTGGCTCAGTGGATAGTGTCCGCCTGTGGACTGAAAGGTCCCAGGTTTGATTCCGGTCAAGGGCATGTACCTTGGTTGCGGGCACATCCCCAGTAGGGGGTGTGCAGGAGGCCGCTGATTGATGTTTCTCTCTCATCAGTGTTTCTAACTCTTTATCTCGCTCCTTTCTTCTCTGTAAAAAAAAAAATCAAAATATATTTTTTTAAAAAAGAAGGACGTAAACAGGCAGTGATAATCCAATGCAAAAAGTGCCAGAGCTGGGGATGGCCAGGTGGCTGGGGCGGAAGACTTCCTGGAGGCGGTGTCGGAGCTGGGTGAGGATGAGAGGGGAGGGGAGGCGGCCAGGAGAGGAAACTTAGCGAGGGCACAGGGGCACTAGTGCTCCTGGTGCTCAGTCTACCCTCCCCCCCGCCCCCGCAGCTGACCCAGCAGCTGGACCTCCAGGGCAACCAGCTGAAGGCGATCCCCCCGGCCGCCTTCCAGGACCTGCCCCACCTCACGCACCTGGACCTGCGGCGCTGCCAGGTGGAGCAGGTGGCGGAGGGCGCCTTCCGCGGCCTGGGCCGCCTGCTGGTCCTCAACCTGGCGGCCAACCGGCTGCGCGCGCTGCCGCAGGAGGCGCTGGCCGGGCTGGGCGCGCTGCGGCGCCTGGAGCTGCAGGGCAACCGGCTGGAGGAGCTGCGGCCCGGGGCCTTCGGGGCGCTGGGCGCGCTGCTCAGCCTCAACCTGGCGCACAACGCGCTGGTCTACCTGCCGCCCTTGGCCTTCCAGGGGCTGCAGCGCGCGCGCGGCCTGCGGCTGGAGCACAACGCGCTCAGCGTGCTGGCGCCCGAGGCGCTGGCCGGGCTGCCCGCGCTGCGCCGCCTCAGCCTGCGCCACAACGAGCTGCAGGCGCTGCCCGGCGCCGCGCTGGCCCCGGCCCGCGGCCTGGCGCGCCTCGAGCTGGGCCACAACCCGTTCACCTACGCGGGCGAGGAGGACGGGCTGGCGCTGCCGGGCCTGCGCGAGCTGCTGCTGGACCACGGCGCCCTGCAGGCCCTGGACGCCCGCGCCTTCGCCCGCTGCCCGCGCCTGCACACGCTGGACCTGCGCGGCAACCAGCTGGCCGCGCTGCCGCCGCTGCAGGGCCCGGGCCAGCTGCGCCGCCTGCGGCTGCGGGGCAACCCGCTGTGGTGCGGCTGCCGCGCGCGGCCGCTGCTCGAGTGGCTGGCGCGGGCGCGCGTGCGCTCGGACGGCGCGTGCCGGGGGCCCCGGCGGCTGCGGGGCGAGGCCCTGGACGCGCTGCGGCCCTCCGACCTGCGCTGCCCCGGGGACCCTGCGGCGGCCGAGGAGGAGGCGGAGGAGCGGGCCGAGGCGGGGGCCCGGGCGCCGGCGGCCCCTCCGGGCCCCGCGGCGGCGGCGGAGGAGGACGGCGCGGCCCGGCCCTGCCCGCGCGCCTGCGTGTGCGCCGCCGCCGCCCGGCACAGCGGCTGCGAGGCCCGGGGCCTGCGCGCCCTGCCCCGCGGCTTCCCCGCCGACACGGAGCTGCTGGACCTGCGGCGCAACCACTTCCCCGCCGTGCCGCGCGCCGCCTTCCCCGGCCTCGGCCGCCTGGTGTCGCTGCACCTGCAGCACTGCGGCGTGGCGGCGCTGCAGCCGGGCGCGCTGGCCGGCCTGGACGGCCTGCTCTACCTCTACCTCTCCGACAACCGGCTCTCCGGCCTGGCCGCCGGCGCGCTGGACGGCGCCCCGCGCCTCGCCTACCTCTACCTGGAGCGCAACCGCCTCCTGCAGGTGCCCGCGGCCGCCCTGCGCGCCCCGCCGCGCCTCTGCGCCCTGCACCTGCAGGGCAACGCCCTGGCGCGCCTGGCGCCCGGGGACCTGGCGGGCGCGCCGGCCCTGCGCTGGCTCTACCTGAGCGGCAACCGCCTCGCCCAGGTGGCCCCCGGCGCCCTGGGCCCGGCCCCCGAGCTGGAGACGCTGCACCTGGACCGGAACCAGCTGCGGGAGGTGCCCACCGCGGCGCTGGAGGGGCTGCCCGCCCTGCGGGAGCTGCAGCTCTCCGGGAACCCGCTGGGGGCGCTGCGGGACGGCGCCTTCCGGCCCGTGGGCGAGTCCCTGCAGCACCTCTTCCTCAACAGCACCGGCCTGGAGCAGGTGGGCGCGGGGGCGGGTCAGGGGGGCGCAGCTTGGCCCTAGGAAGGGAACATTAACCAACAAACACCGCCGGCCCGGCAGGGCCAGGCCCGCGGCTGGGCACGGGGAGCCTTGGATAAGCCAGACCGCCCTGCCCCAGGGAACTGGTGTGGGTGACCGAGCTCAGAATCCAGGCCACACAGAGGCCTGCAGGGAGGGCACTGAGGAACCTGGGCCCTCAGGGTCCCCTCCTGTGTGCCCTGGAGGCAGGGGGAGCCCTCAGGGCGGTGCCATCAGGCGGGGTGCGGGTGGCTCAGGCAAGGCAGAAGGCACCCTGAGCCGGTCCGGTGACTTGCCAAGGGCAGGTGCTTTGGCATCAGACGCACTTACGTGTCCCCCCCAGTGCTGTTTTCCTGCCTGGCCCCCTGAGGGCCCCCTGCCCTTGTGCCCGGGGAGCACGGGCCTCCCCCTGGCCTGACGGGAGCTCACCCAGGGCCTGGCGTCTCCCTGCAGGTTTCCCCCGGGGCCTTCTCGGGCCTGGGGCCCCAGCTGCAGAGCCTGCACCTGCAGAAGAACCAGCTGCAGGCCCTGCCCGCCCTGCCCAGTCTCAGCCAGCTGGAGCTGGTCGACCTCAGTGGCAATCCCTTCCGCTGTGACTGCCAGCTGCTCCCCCTTCACAGGTGAGCACTCCACCGGGACCCGCCAGCTGCTCTCAGCCAAGTCCCCCTGTGTTCCCAGGGCCCCGTCTGCCCGGCTTCCCCTGCAGCTTTTGGGGAGCCGGGTCCTGCCAGGACACAAGCTGGGGGTCCCTCAAGCACAGAGTGGGAATGAGTATTCGTGGGCTCCGCGTAATCACACAGAAAGCCGCCGTCACTGGAGCCCGCAGGCCCGCTGATGCCAGCTCTGCCTGCCGGGCCGGCCTCTGGCGGGCCACAGCCCTCCTCTGTGAGGGCCGATGGCAGTCTGTCCACCTCGTGGGGGCTTGTCCACGGTCACAGTGAACCAGTCACGTGTGCGGATTGAACGATTCCAGCCGTGTGAGTGTTTATCGCCCTGCGTGCGACCCTCTGGCTGCAGAGAAGGGATGTGAGGCTGGAAGGGACCTGGTCCGGGGATTCTGATTCCGCTCTCAGCATGAGGCTCTCCCTGCCCCAAGCTCCCAGGACCCCGCCCGGAAGGCTCAGCACCGTCCCCGAACTCTCTCTGCAGGTGGCTCGCGGGGCTGAACCTGCGGGTGGGTGCCACCTGTGCCGCGCCCCCCAGCGCCCGGGGCCAGCAGGTGAAGGCGGCCGCCGCCGTCTTTGAAGTCTGCCCGGGCTGGGCGACCAGGAAGACCAAGCGGATGCCGGGTGCCCGGAGAGCCCGCGGGCAGCGCTGACATCGGGGAGCGGACAGGTTGGCAGGGGGGGGGGGGGGGGGGGGGCAGGTTCCCAAGCGCCCAGGGCAGCAGGGCTGTGACTTCTCTTGGTCTCAGTCTCATGTGGTGTGGATCTGGGCAGTGCCCATGCCCGTCTCCTCCCCGCCTCTCCCTCTGGGCCGGGCCGGGCCGGGGTGGTCTGTGAGGACGCGCTGCTGCACGCGGCCGTTCTGCTGGGCCCCGGCACACTGGGCCGGCACGTTCATGAAACCAATCCCGCTGTTCCTGAGAGGCTGATCCCTGCTGGCTCAGCCATGTCCCTCTGACCCCGCGGGCCTGGCTGTGCCTGGGCGGGCAGCCAGCAGCGCCAGTGCCTCCCCTGCTCCTGGCCACCAGCTGGCTCCGCTCTGGCATCCGGCAGCCGGGGCCATTATGCTCTCCATCCCGACAGATGCAGTCACACTGAGCACCAGCCGCAGGCCAGGGCCCAGCACCTCAGAGAGCGAGCGAGCGAGCGAGCGAGCGAGCGAGGTGTGGGCGCCTCGCCGTGTGGCAAGGGCACCGGGGGCGGAGGGTCTAAGGGGAACAGCCAGTCCTTGGAGGGAAAATGGGAACAGGATGAGGAGGTGCTGGGAGTTGGGGTGCCGGGGACCGTTAGATGGTGCAGTGGTTCCTGGGGCTGCAGAACCAAGTACCACAGACGGTACCTTGATTGCCTTGCTGTTCCAGAGGACGGGAGTCTGATCCAGGCCACGCTCCCCTGACGCTGTAGGGGAGGGTCCTTCCTGCCCCCTCCAGCCTCTGGGGCCCAGATGGTCGCCTGTGGCAGCACAGCTCCCACCCCTGGCACCTCCTTGTCTTCACATCGTCTCCGACATCCGTGTCCAGGTTCCCTTTGTTTATTTTTACCGTAAAAGAGCACAGACCTGTTGGATTAGGTCCACCCTAATGACCTCATTTGACCTTGATTACCTCTGTGAGTTCCTATTCTAAATGAGGTGTTTAACCCCTAGCAGTGCTCCTTGTGGGGCAGGTGGGAGGAGAAGGGAACCCCTCTATGACCCCACGCTGAAGGTGGGCAGTGCCGCCGCAGAAGGCGGCCTGGGCAGTGTGACAGCACAGCAGGAGTCAGCTGGCCCCCTGTGCGTGGACTTGTGCCAGGCTCGGCTCATGAACGGCCTGGGGCGCTGTGTGCCAGCCTGGAGCTCCTGGCCAGGGCTTTACTTCAAAGGGACCCCCCTGCCCTAGCCAGTTTGGTTCAATGGATAGCACTCCGGCCTGTAGACTGAAGGGTCCCAGGTTAGATTCTGGTCAAGGGCACCCGCGCGCACACACACACGAGTTTGATGGTGCGGCAGGAATGGGAACCTTCAGCCATGCCTTCCAGCCACCCTCTCTGGCACACAGATATTCCACCGAAGGCCAGCCTGGAGTTCTGGGTTTTTGTTTTTATTTTGTAAAAGTGGCAGTTTTCTCCCAGGAACACAAAGGAACTGAAGGATCCGGGTCCTGGGCTGTGGCAGGATGCTCCGGGTCGGGATGCTGACCGTGCTGGAGGCAGAGGCTGGATCACACACGCCTGCCTCTCCTTGGAGCCTGACCTCGTTGGGGTCCAGCACTGCGAGCTGCTTAGTGCCGAGTGAGGGAATGAGTATTGCCAGCAGAAATATGGCTGATCAACCAGGGTTTAATGGCTTAATCCCACTGCCATCATTAAAAAAAAAAATATATATATATATATATATATATATATATATATATATTCAATATATATTTTATACAGAGAGGAAGAGAGAGGAATAGTTAGAAACATCGATGAGAGAGAATCATCGATCAGCTGCCTCTTGCACACCCTCCACCGGGGATGTACCTGCAACCAAGGTACATGCCCTTGCCCGGAATCGAACCCGGGACCTTTCAGTCCGCAGGCCAACGCTCTATATCCACTGAGCCAAACCGGTCCCGGCTAAAATATATATATTTTTTATTGATTTTTTTACAGAGAGGAAGGGAGAGGGATAGAGAGCTAGAAACATCAATGAGAATGAGAAACATGGATCAGCTGCTGGGGATGTACCTGCAACCAAGGTACATGCCCTTGACCGGAATTGAACCTGGGACCCTTCAGTCTGCCGACCAATGCTCTCACCAGAGTCAGACTGGCTAGGGCCGGCTGCCATCATTTAAGTGGTTAAACAACCAAGTTATTGACCTTTGAGCCTTCCCTGTCCTGTCTGTAATGAAGTCAGGTCCTCGCAGGCCTGCTGTGCAGATGAAGCTGTAAATGTGTATAAACCAGGGCTGGCGTGTGAGACTGTCTCCCTGGCCGGCTCCTCCGTTTTCCCGGTCCCTCGGGCAGAGCGGAGGGTGTGGCCCAGGTGACGGCAAAGGTCCAATCCACACGGAAGCCACTGCGTGCCCTGCAGCGGGGGCAGTCAGACGGCCCTTCAGGATGCTGCCCAGCAGCAGCCCCACTGCGAGGCCATCGGGGTTAACAGTCATTCTGTGCCTGGAGGTCAACACCTGACCTGCGACACATCCAATGGCCTTCAGGCCCAACACACACCTTCACATCACACTCTGTCCCAGGCCCGGGGGGGGGGGAGAACGGCAGAAATAAGGGCAGTATGTGTGCCTGCTGTGGAAACAGGTGCCATTTGTTCTTTATTTCTTCTTCACATGTGAACTCGCCTCATAACGGTAACTATGAGGCCGTATGTCAGAATACACGTTGCTGTAGGGAACAAAAGTCTGACAAACTGGACTTCAGCAACAACGGGATTTAACGACCTCACTGCCTGAGGCCTCCGGGGCCTGAGTGGCAGCTAACTTGGCCTTCAGCTCTATCCTCAGAATGTGGGAGCCATGCACCTGTAGCATCACTTCTTCCTCTGAAAAGAAACTGAAGGCCAAAATGCCATATGGTTCCAGTTTCCCCAGAAGCAGAGGGAACACTAGGCCATCTTCGTCCCTGGGGGTGGATGCCACTGCCTGTCACAACCCGGTCCGTTCCCGGCCTCACGGACCCCAAACCTGGTCGCTTTGGAGAACCCGGGCTGCACCAACAGGCTGCTTCCCGGGGCTGTTCCTGCTCCGTATGGAGCTGCCCGGTGCCTTCAGCAAAGGAGCCAGAACAAGTTCTCTCCAAGCTGACGGGACATGGCTCTCCTGGGGCTGATCACCACCTCAGGGGTGACACCAAACAGCCCAGGCCCTGAGCAAGCAGACAGCACCCCCTGTGGCAAGCTCAGGCACAGCAGCAGGCCAGCCCACGGTGCAGCTGGACTCCAGCCAGCACGGCTGTGCCTGGCGGTGGACCCGACAGTGCGGCTTGCTGCCCGCAGCGCAGGCGGCCTGCAGCTGCCGCCCTCGGCTCCAGAGAGGGAGCCAACGAGGTCAGGCTGATCAGAAAGGAGTTTCAATGGAGGCGGATTTGGGCAAACACTAGGGGAGCTAGAATGTGATTTCCGAGGAGCAGGGAACCAGGAAGTGTGTCCTGTGGCTCCAGCGAGGCTGAACGGACCCTGGTTAACAGAAGGGGCGTGGCAAGGACAGGCCCTGCCCAGCTGCAGCTGGGGCAGGTCCAGATCGATGCTGGAGGGGTCTACACCACACCTGCTGCCCCTGCCACCCCCAATCCCACCCACCACCCTCCCCAAGGGGCACAGGCAGGTGTGGGCGTCCCCTCACCAGGTCCCTGCAAACCCCCGACCCTGGAGCAGTCCCCACGCTGTCCTTTCAGAAATGGGAACTGGTGCTCATGCCAACAGAAAACAGGGCAAGGACACCTCACAACCACTGACACCACATCCTGGCTGCTGCTGCTCAGCTGCCAGACGGACATGGCTGTCCCTGCGGTGCTGGGAGGAGCACCAGCCAGGAGGCAGGACAGGCCACTTGGTAATGTTCGAACCCATCACACCACCCACCGCCGATCAGGTGCCTGCCTCCCAGGAGCGGCTGCAGCCTTTGTGACTGGCTGGCCGCACACCGGTGCGCACACTTCAGCCTTGTCTTGTCTGGCCGTGTACCTGCGGCTGAGGGTGAGGGCGGCTGCAGGAACGGGAGCTGGGGACCCAGGCAGCCCGTCACTGGGCCTTGCAGAGGGCAGAGGTCACAGGCAGGTCAGAGGAGACCTGGCTCACCCCTCAGTGCCGGGCCCCCAGCACCAGCGGGATTTTTCTAAAAGGCTCAGTCTCCAAACCGCAGCAGGTGGACGGGAGGTGGTGAGGGGCCGGCTGCAGCGGGCGGCTCAGTCCTCTGCCTCCTGTTTGATGTTCTCGATGGACACAGGCAGCTCCGGGCTCCGGGCCTTGTCAGGCGTGGCCGCCTCCACGTGCTCCTCCTTCACGCGCACGGCGATGACTGAGGGGGATGGGGGAGGGAAGGAGAGGCAGTGCATGTGACGCTGGGGAGGGCGGGGCTCAGGGTCTCCCCCCCTCCCTCCCGCCTGGCTCTGCTCTGATCTGGGTGGGCGTTTCGGAAGCTCTCCTGCCCAGCAGTCTGCGAAGGGCTGCTGGTGCCCAGAAAATGCCCTTGGGAACTGACTGTGCCCTTCTGTGCCAGGGGGAAGGAGAGGCGCCGGCCTGAGCCTGCCGCCCGCCCGGCTTACTCTCGTCCGGACTGGCCGCCGCCAAGACCTTCTCCGGGGCCTGGGGGTCCTCCTCCAGCGGCGGCTTCTTGGAGCCTGGTCTCAGGGGCCGCGCCTTGGCCGGAGGAATCCTCTTCCCTTTGAATAAAAATGGAATTAAACCAGCATCAGGGTCACATCCTGTGAGGCCGGAAGGCTGACCTCGTCCAGCGCTGCAGCAGAGCGGAGGGGTGGTCAGGGGAATGGGCCTGAGCCTCTGACATCGCCCCTCAGGCTCAGGGCCCCTCACTGGGCACCTCCTCTCCTCCCCGCCCCCTCAGGCCGGTGTCCCCTCCGGCCGCTGCCCCGAGCTGAGCCGTGCTGGACTCGGACCTGCTGAGATGGCAGCGCCTGGGAGCGGCCTGAAGCTGTGGCTGCCCTGCCCCCCAGGGGGCAGAGGAGAGCAGCTTTGACCTCCACACCCAGAGGGCCGGCTCCTGTCCTGGGGGCATGGCCTCCCCTCCCCTCTCAGATACAGCTCCTGTCTCTTCCCGCATCCTGACCGCTGCCAGGCACTGAAGGCCCCTACTGTGCGCCGGGTCACTGACGACAGGATGACGGCCGAGGGCCAATGGGAAGGAGGAGGGGGAGGGACAGCCCAGGCCCTCCCCGTGGCCACTCACTTTTCTTCCCAAACTGCTTCTTCCTCTTCTTCGTGGCCTCCTTGGCCTTCAGCGGCGTGGCTGGCTCTGTGGTTAGAGAAAAGGACAGAGGTGAGGAGAGCTCTGAGAGGACACGGGAGAGGCATATCCCCAGACCCGGCCCGCCCGCACGGCCTCCCTGATGCTCGGGACACCCAGAAGGAGAGCCGAAGGTGGCCCATGGGGGGGGAGGGACTGGAGAGCAGCTGTCCCTTCCCACCCTCGTCACCAGGGCTGCTCCAGGCCGGGGTTTACCTGGCGCACAGGGGCACGAGCATATGACAGAGGGCAAGATCAAGGAAGGAGCTCTGCAGGCCAGAGGGAGAGGGAGACAGAGGAGTCAGGAGCAAGGGTGGTCGGAGGCTTCTCGGTCTCACGCCACAGAACGAGGTGGGCGCGGGCAGGGGCGCGGTCGGAGGGAAGGAAAGGAAGTCAGAGCCTCGGGGCTGCAGGACCCAGACCTGTGGACACGGGCGGCTGGAGCTGGTAGCCGGTGAGCTCGCACCAGCCGACCGGGTAGATGTCCGGGGACTCGCAGTCCACCCACTGGTCGTACTCGCTGTCCCAGCCGTCGAAGTGGATGCTGAGGAGCCGGTGCACCACCCGCCTCACCGTGGCCACACAGATGAGCCGCGGCTCCATCAGGTCCACGGCCTCCAGCTTCATGCCCACCTTGAAGCCGTGGTTGGGGCAGTCCTGCGGGAGGAAGGAGGCGGTGACCTAGCCAGCCAGCGCCTGCCCGGGGCGGGTGCCTGAGGGGAGGGCCTCTGACCAACGGCCCCTGTCCTCTGCCAAGCACAGCCCCTGCGGGAAAGGACCGCTGACTATCAGGCGGGGCCTGTGCCGGAGCCGGGCCCTCTCCCCGGAATGGCTGACCGCGGGCAGGCCGACCCCAGGCCGCTGTCTCCTCACCATGTTAAAGAGTCTGGACGGAGCCGCCTTCGACTTGGTCTTCTCCAGGTAGGTGTCCCAGTTGAAGGTGCGGGTGTCATAGCCTGGAGGAGCAGAGGGAGAGGCGGAGGGAGGAGGGGAGTGGGAGGAGCCCAGGAGGGAGCACACAGCCACAGGGGGCCTGGGGCCTGGGCAGGCCGGTCTTACCTTTCGGGAGAGTGAGCTCAATGTCGTTCTTCTGGCAGAAGGTGGCTGGGAAGATGGCGTGGGAGGAGGCGTGGTAACAGAACCAGTCTGAGCCGTCGGTGGAGGGCCCCCCGTCCACACAGAGCATCAGGTAGCCATCCAGGAGGACCTGGGCGGCCGAGGGGAACACAGAGAATCAGGAGCATGAGCTGCGCCCCAGGGCAAGGCGGCTGTGGTGGGGCCAGACGTCAGCTCCGCTCCGCTCCGCGCTCTGCAGCCTGAGCATGAGTGAGTTACTGACCTCCTCACTGGACAGCACCCCGGCCCAGGCCAGGTCTGTCTGTGCCCCTGCACTCTCCGGGGGAGCGCTCCGCTCAGGACGGGCCCCGGGAGCAGGCAGCGGGATGTGGGGGCACGGAGCCCCAGCTCCGCACGGCCCCTCCTGACTGCCACCGGAGCTGTAAGCGCGGCCACAGCTCACCTTGCAGACGGTGGCCACACAGATGTTGCCCAGATTCAGGGGGTCGATGGCCTCCAGCTTCATCCCCTCCTCAAACCAGCCGCCTTCTGTGTACACAGCGCGAACCTTAAAGGAAGGGGACAGCTGGGCATCGGGGCAGCCCGAGTGCGGGGGGGAGCAGGCCTCTCCTGTCACAGGCCTGGGAGGGGACAGGGAGGCCTGGACCCATGGTCCAGGGGAAAGGGCCGTGGCGGGGCCTCACCTTCTTGAACAGGTAAGGGACGGCGTCGCAGTAGATCTTCCGGAAGGTGGGGTGATGGGCCATGTCGCTGCGCCTCTCTTTGGGGCGATGGCAGAGGGGGAGGGAGAGAAGGGCGTTGAAGGCTGCGAGCAGGGCCATCGCTACACTCCCCAGAAGTGTGGGTGCTGCCCGCAGAGGCCGTGATCTGTACCCCAGCCCCACCCGCCTGGACTAGACCCCCAGCATCAGCACCCTCTGGAGCAGCAGTTCCAGCCTTCCTAATGCCCCGCCCTTTAATACAGCTCCTCATGTTGTGGTGACCCCCAACCATAACATTATTTTTGTTGCTACTTCATAACTGTAATTTTGCTACTGTTATGAATCGTAATGTAAATGTCTGTGTTTTCCGATGGTCTTAGGCTCTACAGCAAGTTGAGAATCGCTAGCAGGATCGCCTAAGACCAGCAGAAAACACAGACATTTACATTATGATTCGTAACAGTAGCAAAATCACAGTTATGAAGTAACAATGAAAATAATTTTATGGTTGGAGGTCACGACAGCATGAGGAACTTGATTAAAGGCCGGGGGCATTAGGAAGGTTGAGAACCACTGCTCTATAGACACTGTTTAGCCGTAAGACCCCTCTCCTCCCGTGTGACAAGAAGGAAGATGGGCCTGTGGTCTCTGGTTCCAAATCGGTTTTCCACCGACAAGCTGAGTGACCTTGGCCACGTCACTCCACTCTCTGGGCCTCAGTCTGCCACCTGCAGGCGGAGATGAGCAGCGCACGGAGCGTGCTGGGGCACAGGTGGCAAGGCGGGGTCAGCTGCCGGGCCCTGCTGACCTGACAGCTTGATGCCGTGGCCCACGCGCCGGGACCAGCCCACGGGGTGGATCAGGGGGCTCCACATGTGGCACCAGAAGTCGTCGTCGCTGTCGCCGTCCTCGTACAGGAGCCGCAGGCGCCCCCCGATGACCGTGTCCACCACGGCCATGCGGGTCCGAGACACCTGGGACTTGTCCACCACCTCCAGCCGCATGCCCTGCCGGAAGGGGTACTTCATGCTCTCCACCATCTGCAACACAGAACACGGCCTGCGTGGGCATGGGCCCCGCCCCCGCCTTTACAGGCGAGAAGGGGAGCTGTGGGAACACCGGTCAGGAAGTGATCTTCCCGCCCCGATCCCACCTGCCCCCGCGTCCTGAGGGGGACACTGAGAAGGCGCAGCTTCTGCGCACAGTGCCCCAAGTCAGCCTGAGGGAGTGACAACACCCTCTCAGACTGAGGCGGCGGGTGCCAGAGGGTGACCTGCCAGTCACAGTCATTCGTGCCAGAACTGAGCCTTGCGCCTGGGCCCAGTATCCAGCCTTGTGCTCCTCGGGGACCTGCGTTCTGACCCACAGGCATCCCACACTCCCCTCTCCTGCCAGCGGCACACACAGCCTCCTGAGCATCAATTCCGGCTCCAGCCTCACCGGCCGTGCCTCTGGATGGCTGAGGAGTTGAAGCTTCACACACATACACACACACACACACACACACACACACACACACACCCGCCTTCACAGGAGCGGCTTTGTGTGTCCGCCCCAGCATGCACTGCACACAGGGGTAGGTGAGACAGGAACCGCATGCTTGCTTTCTGGTTCCCATGGAACCTGTTCTGCCACCAGAGCAAAGCCCTGTGACTTAGGCAGAAAAGAGGCCGCCCTGATACTCCCAGTGCCCGGCGCCACCACCGTCCTCTGCCTCGTCTGGGACAAGGGCCGCCGAGAAAGAGTAAACCGTCATCTTAACGGCAAATCTGTCAGCTGTGCAAGGCACTATGGGAAATGCAGGAGAAAAGCTTACAGTTCGGTTGGGAAGAGAATACAAACAGGTAACTAACGATGGATAGAGATTAGGAGCAAATGAGTAGCACCCGCTGAGTTCAAAGACGGGAAAATCATTTCTACAATACTTAGGGGGAAAGGTCAGAGATTGCCTCCCTGAGGGGCTGGGACCACCCCTCGCTGAAGGCTGGTGCCCGGTGCCACTCCATCCTTGTTTCCCAATGCTGGCTTCCATGCCACCCATACCCTACTGATCAAGTTCAAGTTCAAATGCCCTTCCCCCATGAAGCCGCCTTTAATACTTGCTCCGGTTCAGTTTCCTGTCATGGCAGCACCTGCCTGCACTCCCCCGCTCACTGCTGAGATGACACCAGGCGACAAGGGAACCACACCTGAGACCTGGGTCAGACCTGAGGTCCCGCCCCAGCACCCAGGGCGTGAGCCCCGAGCGATCTGGCCTCTGGAGCAGGAGGGACTGTCTTCACTCTGTCCCTTAAGGTCCCTTCGACTTTCACCGTGTGTACGGCTTTGTAGGTTAAAGAACTGAGTAATGTTTAAAATTACAATTCAACGCCGCCCAGTGGTTTTGAAGCACCTCCCTGGTTCGAGCCAAGGCTGCTTTATAATTATTCATGTAATTATATAATTACTCTGCCAGACAGGAGTCTGGACCGCAGGGCCTGTGTGCCCACAGCTCTTACAAAGCCTGCCGCGTGAACGCTCCTGGGAACGCTACGAGCAAGGGAAGGGCGCAGAGGAACAGAGGCAGACCAGGTAGGGTGGTGGGTGCGGCGGGATCAGAGTCTGGGTCGGGAGGAGGCAAGAACCACCATCCTTCCCTGAGAAACATGGAGCCACCCAGACTGTTAGACAGGTGGCTCAGGAAGGACACGCCGGTGAGCAGCAGGAAGCACGTAAAATCGGAGGGGCAGGAAGGAGATCACTTAGACCCAAGGGTCAGTGCAGACCTTGATGTGAAAGTCCACGGGGAGCGTCCGGGAGCCCACCAGCCGTTCCATGAGGTAGCCCTTCCAGTCGGTGAATCTGGCATGGATGGCTGCAGGACAAGATTCCCGGTTACACGCTGACAGCACTTCCACCAGCAGAGGGCGCCAGAGCCGCCCCAGAGACCAGCAGAGGAGACGGACAACTTATTTCTGCCTTTCGGTCAGGGTCAGCAATCGCCTCAGCCTACAGAACCGCCTCCGGGACAGAGGCGGCAGGTGGCTTCTCTCCTGCCTCAGCGAAGGGCCCGCAGGAACCCGCACCCAGAGCCCTCGCCCACTCACTCCGCGGGGGCACCAGGATCTTGCTGTTGATGGCGCACCAGCCGATGGGGTGGACGTCCACAGTTCCCAGGTTGCACCAGAAGTCGTGGCTGGCATCGTTTTCAAAGCCCTCATACCGCAGCAGCACTCGGTACCCTGGAGGACAGGCCGCAGTGAGGGAGGGGGCGACGGGAAAGGATGTTCTTAGGCTTCCTCCTTCCGCAGCCTCAGCCAGCATTTCCGCTGCCGCCTCTGAGAACTCCGTGTGGACACAGGTCTCTGCTGCCTGCAGTCATGGCAAAGCAAGCCCATGCCACTTACTTGGGAAGCAGTGCCCAACGGGAGAATAGACTTTCTATTGCCTGATTATCCCTGGAATAAACTAAAAAATGGGAGTTTCCAAACTCACCAAGCTCTGCATTGCCAGGGAGCCCGCAGCACTGCCCACCCACCTGCAGGGGCCCCTCTGCAGACCCGCCCACCTGCGGCCTGGATGACGGAGGCGATCCAGTACACCCGGCTGGGGAGCACGGCGTCGCTGTTGAGCACCTCCACCTTCATCCCCTTCGCCACGTCCTCCCACTGGTCATAGAGGGGCACCTGCGGGAGGAGAGCCCAAAGGGACGGTGACCGACTGCCTGGCTGGCGGAGAGCATGGCCCCATGGCTTCCTAACTGTGTCTGTGGCCTTTCTCATCAGTCCCTGGGTGCGGAAGCCAGGCACGGGGCGAGGGAGGAAGAGCTGAGCAAGTTTGTCTGTGCCCTTGAAGAGCAGAGTCAGGGGATGGAGGGGTGGCCAGGGTGACGGTCAGAGATCCAGTCAGGCGCCCCGAGGATTCGTCTCATCTTGAGCGCATGACACACAGATGGTTGCGATGCTTACACGTGCCAAGCCGTTCTTGGCACAAACATCACCTTCAATCCTCACTCAGTCTGGGCGGTAGGATCATGACTCCCGGTCTCCCGTCCATGGCCACGCCGGTTCTCAGCGCTGCCAGCACACCTCACTCCCAGTGTGTTCTCTCCACCTCCAGCTGGTCCCCTCTCCTGCTGAAGTGTCCCCTACAGCAGGGACTGTTTTTTGGGTGCCTTCCCAATAACTGGTCCTCACTCTGCTGCCCATGGCACCTTGCTCTCCTTTGGGGAAATTCACCTTTTCGGCATTCTCAGCCTCGCTTAAGCCGATCCATCCTGTCCCATCTCCCCGCCGCAGAGACTGGGTTCATCAGAGAACCCAGAAATGCTGCCAGGAGCACAGGGCTTGGATGGTAAATGCCAGGTGATGCTAACGCCCCTGCAGCACAGGTGCCAGGGCCTGGGGTGCTAGAGAACTCCGGAAAGAAGGCAGCTAGGACAGCGGGCCCCTCACCGCAGCTCAGGGGAGGGGAGGCTGCGCCGAGGGCCAGCTGCTCGCGGTTCGGGGCGCCCTGCAGAGTTCGGCAGCAGCTCAGAAAGGAGCAGCCAGGGAGGGTTCCCTCTGGGGAGAGGCCTCCTCCTCCATTTCCTGGCGTTTTGGAAACTGGCTTGGAAGACAAAGCCTGAGCCCTGCTTGTCTGCAATCACCGCTGCAGAAACTTCCCATTCGCATTCAGTCCTCCACCCGCCCAGCCCCCGGGCTCAGGCTCACCCTGCCCCCGGCCTCTCAATGCCGGGCGGGCCAGGGAGCTCTGCAGAGGCTCCAGGTTTCCCCTCTGCCACCCGGGCTGGTTGAGAAGCACCCAGCTTTCCGTGGGGCAGGAGACAGGAGCTCACGCTGGGTGTGGGACAGAAGCCAGCAGAGTCCCAGCGTGTAAGTAACAGGTTTCCGCAGAGGGGAGTGCGGGGCCAGAGCCTCAGGGAGGCCGGAGGGAAGACTTGTGAAGGGAACAGAGAGGTAAAGGAGGAGCAGAGCTGGCTTCCGCCACCCAGGAGCCCTCCGCCACCACCGTTCTCTCTGGTGCCAAGGCAAGCTCCAGCGGACCAGTCTGCGAGGCAGCGAGTGAGGTAGGTGGTGAGCCCTGGCTCCCTGCTCCCTCCCTGCCCACCGGCACTCACGTGTTTAAAGCAGCTGACAGGGGCGGCCTTGTAACTGTGGTCCTTCAGGAACTTCCCCCAGTCGAAGCCCAGGACCAGCGCTGCAGACAGAGAGGAGCTGAGAGGGGGGCCTGGGAGCGCAGGCAGCGGCCACTCCAGGGACCTGGCCCCGAGGAGCCGGCAGAGGCAGGTCCCTTCCCACAGGCGCTCTCAGGCCCCAGTGCACGGCGAGGCCACCCGTGCCCGTACCTGCCCGAGAGGCCATCGGGGCCTCATCCAACGGCCGCCAGACTCCCCGGGGTAAACGGTCAGAAGGAAATGTCTGACCTTTCTTCCCCCGAGAAAAATGCAATTCAAAGACCCTTGAATTGAGCTTCAATTCCTCGGACCTCCCCTGACCCGTCACTGGCTGCAGCACACAGCACTCACGCCTGTGGAGCTCCGACCACTCGGCAGTTGCTGTGTGCCTGTATTTAACTGCTCAGAAGCTGCTCCACACCCAGAAGGTTCCTTTCTTATTGCACACCCTCTCCCAACGAGACCTGGCTTTCCACCGCCAGGGAACCACAGCAGAGTGCAGATCAATGCAGAACAATAGAGGCCAATCATGGCTTTTGAACCATCAGTGGGGGGCCCGCCATTAGGGTGTCTGAGGGGATTTTCCCCACCAGGCGAGGAAGACGCAGCCAGCCGGCCTGGGCCAGGGCTCTTTCTGGCTCTTCTCTCCTCGCTCCCAGCAGGAGCCACCCCAGTCCTGGCACCCCGCACCCATGCCCAGCAGCTTCCTGAGCACAGAACCTGCCCTCTTACCGTCTTGCCCTGTGGGTGTCCCATCGGCCAGCTGCCCCGTCCCTTGCGAGTGGAGGAAGGCTCCGATCTTGGCGGACCAGGCTGCCTTGTGCAGGACTTTGGCTTTCTTGGTGGGCGGCTTTCCCTGGGGCGGAGAGGGCGTGCAGCACTGGCTAAGCATCCGGCTCTGCACTCAGACTGCCCGCGTTTACATCTCAACAGGGGTCAGCTCCCAGGGAGCCCTCTGGGGCTCGGTTCTCCATTTGTTAATCAAGTGATACTAATAACAATAAGGGCTGCAAGGATGGGGTGAGGGCTTAACTCTTGTTCCAAGGGGAGGGACTGGGGACAGATGGCGGAGCAGTAAGGCAGAGGGACACCTGCTCCATCTTTTAAGCTTGTGCTTCCTCCAGCAACCTTTTCCTAGCGGCTTCAACTCTCAGCATTCCTTGCTCCTGCGCTTCTACAGCTTTATGGCGGAGAATGGGCTTCAGGGGATCTGTGACCTGCACCAGGAGACATTCTGTATGTACACGAATGTCCTGCTTCTATCAGTGCTCAAAGACGCCCCCAAGGCTGAAGGGCGCGGCTCCATTCTGTAACTTGTAACTTAAGCACTGCTAGAGAGGCCCAGAGAATTTAGAGATCAGTGTGGTGGGTTTACAACCCAAACAGACCTGGGGTCAAGTCCTGGCTCAATTTTATTTGTGTGCCTTCCAGCAAGTTACTAAAATGTACTGGCCCTTTAAAAGGAATTTTTAAAAATTATTTTATTAGCCGAAACCGGTTTGGCTCAGCGGTAGAGCGTCGGTCTGCGGACTGAAGGGTCCCAGGTTCGATTCCGGTCAAGGGCATGTACCTTGGTTGTGGGCACATCCCCAGTGGGGGGTGTGCAGGAGGCAGCTGATCGATGACTCTCTCTCATCCATGTTTCTAACTCTTTCTCTCCCTTCCTCTCTGTACAAAAATCAATAAAATATATTTTTAAAAATTATTTTATTAGAGATCTCTAGTTACACCGAGAGTGCCAAGCCCTTAGTAAGTACCTCAGAATTGTAGCTATTAACGGTATGATCAGCTCACCGAGGAAGGATTTTCCATTCTTGACTTCTTACAAAATGAGGGAAACAGCAATAATGGTCTCGGGAAGGTGAGAGGGTAGGAAGCACCGGGCAGAACTGGCCCCTGGCTCACTGCACAGCAGAGCAGGGCCACAAGCTGCCTGCACATCCGGCCATCTGAGGAGCTCTCTGAGCCCATGTCCAGGCCACACCTCACCCCCCTCCATCAGGCTCTCTGGGAGGCAGACCAAGCACCAGTATTTCTAAAACCTTCTGGGTGATCTCAGCATGCTGTCCAGTCTGAGAACAAGCGTGTGGATGGCAGCCAGTCACCATAAACAACACAGGCCAGCGCCTGACACTGGCTTCCAGCCTCGCTCTGCCACCCACGTCCCAGAGCCCCCTGGGGGAGTCCCTCTTCCTCTGTCGGCACACGTACCAGTGAACGTGTGGGTCAGACACACATCAGAATCCTCCCATGTCTGAACCGTCCTGAATGTCAGCCATCAGCTAGAGACCAGGAGTGTCTGGGTGGCTGTCTGTGCCATGGAGTCAGAGGAGGCCTCACTTATCTACCACATGTTCCGGCGTATAAGACGACTTTTGAAACGAGAAAAAGTCAACTGAAAATCGGGGGCAAAAGACCAAAATTGCACAAAAATTACCTGCAGATCTTGACGGCAAAGTAAGTCTTTTCTTTGAAGTGGGGGTAGTCTTATACAGCGAATATAGGCCTAAACCAATGTTTTAACTGTAAAATTAGGGGGTCGTCTTATACGCCGGAAAATACGTAAGCTCGCTGTGGCTGGTTCCGTTCCCTTTCAGAACATTTATAAAAGTGTGGTACGAGGACCAAGGGCGTTTTTAAAACTCATCGAACCTCCCAAAGTGGGAACAGAGTGAGGCTAACAAGTTAACAGGCTCCACACACACATCCCTCTCCCTCTCAAGCCTGAGGTCAGAATCAATACCAGGCCACTGACATCCTCGGATGGACACAGCAAGGTCCGCCCCAGCCCCGTGGCCCCTGCCATCAGTCTCAGCACCGAGGGCCCCAAGGGGGTCTTCCCAGGTGGCCGCCTCTCACCTGTAATCGAGCCAAGATGCTGGCTTTCTTGGAGTTGGAGGAGTAGCTCCTGGAACAGGAGACGCTGCAGAACCTCTTGGTCTTGGAGAAGAAGGCTTCCCTTGTACCCACGATACCACACATCTCACAGACGGCTGGGAAGAGAACTGAGCACGTGACTCACCTGATAGGCCACCCCAGATCAAACAGAATGACGGGCCCTTCAAAACCCGGGCACTGCGTTAGCCAGGTAAGTCCTGAATCTGTCTCACCAAGATAAGCTGCTTGGCGTCCCTTGGCTCTGTGCCAATAGAGGGGCTAAGAAAAAGCCACGAAGAAACGAGTGGGAAAGTTTGCAGAGGAAAAAAGTAGAAAAAAGTGCCCAAATCATTTAACTTCTGAGTCTTTTTCTCGTCTATAAAGAGACTGAACTAGATCAGTGTTTCAACTCCAACTTCACAGTAGAATCACTTGGGGGCTTTTAAAAACGCCCAGGCAGAGCTAGAGAACTCTGGGCTGGCTGGTCTCTATTTCTAAAGTTCTGAGATTCTAAGAGAACTAGGAGACAGAAGGGAGAAAGACACACGAAGGCAGAGAAGACAGGATGAACAGGAAGGAAATAAGATTCAACTGGCAAAGAGTCTTAGGTAACTGTTCCAGAGTTTGGGCACCAAGGAACAGAGTGTCCTCAGAGCCCGCCTGGCTCACCTGCCTTTTCACAGGCCGTCACATGTGGAGGCCGGACACGGGCCAGCAGCTGTCCACGCATCACCTCACGGAAGCCAGCTGGCTTCCACATGCTCCATGGGATTCTCTGCCAAATCACCTTAGTCCTCTTACCCAGGGGCACTGTATTCTCTGCTTCCCTCACCGTCACCTCCACACCATAAGCTATTTCTTGTTCCTTCCTGGATAATAATCAGAACACTTCCGGTATCCTACCTTTTCAACATCCATGATTAAAAACCCACCAGCTGCCCTCACTGGTGTGGCTCAGTGGATAGAGCATCAGCCTGTGGACTGAAGGGTCCCGGGTTCGATCCCGCTCGAGGGCACATGCCTGGTTGTAGGCTCAGTCCTCAGAAGGCAGCTGATCAATGACTCTCTCTCATCAATGATGTTTCTATCTCTCTTTCCTTCTCCCTCTCTGAAATCAATAAAAAAATAAAAATCCACCAGCTACCCTGGCTTAGTGCATAGAGCATTGGCCTGTGGACTGAAAGGTCCTGGGTTTGATTCTGGTCAAGGGCACATGCTTGGGTTGTGGGATCAATCCCCAGGGGGCATACAATGATTCTCTCTCATCATTGATGTTTCTCTCTCTACCTTCTCTCTTCCTCTTTGAAGTTAATAAAAATATATGTTTTTAAAAGTCCACCAGCTATTCACACAAATGTAAAAGTAGTACCATGTGAATGACTGGCATCTAATATGTGCTGAATAAAATCAGTTGTATGAAAGAGGGAGTGAAACCATAATCTGAAATCAGACCGGGGGATACTTGGGGTGCTTCTGTCTCTCTCAGGTCCTTACACATCTGACCCCTTACACTTAAGATTCCACAGCCCTTTTCCCCTGACAGCGCTGTGCCATGGCCTCTCTGCCCCCTTCCCCCACAGCCTCCCGAAACCCCCTCTTCAGGGAACTCCGAAGGCACCTGGCTCGGAACCACTGCCGTCCAGGGAGCGCGGAGTCCCCGGGCTGAGCAGGTGCAGCGGGGAGGTGGGCAGCTCCCCTGCCTCCCGCTCTTCAGTCTCGGCTTCGCTGGACTCCTCCAGGCAGGAGCTGCTCTCGCTGCCGGCGCTGCTGTTATAACCGCGGAAGCTGTCATAGCCGCCGAGCAGCTCCAAGTCCTCCTCTCCCTCCTCTCCCTCCTCTTCCTCCTCTTCCTCCATGGGCTCTGAGGAAGGAACCTCCTAGTGAAGAGAGAAGGACACAGAGCAGGCAGGAAGCATGGCTGGCTTCGTGAACAGGGCGGGCAGCTGCCGATCGCTAGCTGCTGCCTTTCCAGTTTTAGGTCAGTCAGCATTTCTGGGCAAAACGGCAGGCAGAATTGCGAACACCACGATCATTATACTCTTGTTCGGACAGCTTGCAGGTGTAATTCAACAGAAGAGCTTGTTTTAGGAATTAACCTAGCTCCTCCTGTGGATTTGTAAGTGATGCTGTTAACATGATTCAACAGAATACAATGATATGAAAATATCCTAAATGAGGTGCCTCACGAAAACTTTCTGGGAAAGAAATATTCAGTCAGCCCTCCTTATGAGTTCCACAATCCCGTAAAAAAAAAAAAAAAAAAATTCAATACAACGTTACAGTATTGCTGACATGTGCTATATAGTTAGGCCTATGGTTGCATCTGTACTGAATATTTGAAGACAATTTTCTTTTCTTATTCCTTAAGTGATACAGAATAATAATTGTTTACATAGCATTTCTATTGTATTAGGTGTCATAAGTAATCAGGAGATGATTTAGGATATATGGGAGGATATGCATAGGATATTTGCAAATACTACGCTATTTTACACAAGGGACTTGCCGAAACCGGTTTGGCTCAATGGATAGAGCGTTGGCTTGGGGACTGAAAGGTCCCAGGTTCTATTCCGGTCAAGGGCATGTACCTTGGTTGCGGGCACATCCCCAGTAGGGGGTGTGCAAGAGGCAGCTGATGGATGACTCTCTCTCATCGATGTTTCTAATTCTCTATCTCTCTCCCTTCCTCTCTGTACAAAATCAATAAAAAAATATATTTTTTTTTTTTAAAAAAAAGGGACTTGAGCACCTGCAGATTGTGGTGTCTGTGGGGGTTCCTGGAAGCAATGCCCCGGATTCTGAGGGAAAACTGCGCAGGCATACCTTATTTTACTGTACTTTGCTGCATTGCACTTCACAGAGGTTGCGAGTTTTACAAATTGAAGGCAAGACCCTCCACCAGCAAAAAGATTACGGCTGTCTTCGTTGGGGGGGTCTGGAACTGCACTCAGTAGAAATTTTACTCTCCCCCCGCTTCAGCATACGTACATCAAAATAACCTCAACTCAAAACGAATTAAGTCAGAGGAAAGTTATTTTGCGACCCAGGCTGCCATAAGGATGTGGAAGGCAGAAGACACACTATCCTGTTTCCCCGAAAATAAGACAGGGTCTTATATTAATTTTTGCTCCCAAAGATGCACTAGGTCTTATTTTCAGGGGATAATGTCTTATTTTTCCACGAAGAATAATACTGTACACATTTGTTGTTAAATGAAAATAAAGGAAATTTATTACCTGTATACGGTACGGTAGTACGGTAGTTGTCACACAAACCAGACAAACTGTGAATCCTACAGTATCAAGAATTTACTCATTATTCAATGACAATCATGTCATCATCTTTTGGAACATCATCATAACAATCCAATTCCTGAATTTCCTGGTGAATTTCTTATGACTCCATTTCTTTCAGAATCAGTGGACCAAATCTCTCATGTTTAGCCGGGGGGGGGGGGGGGGGGCTTATTTCCAGGGGGGGATGCCTTATATGTCACTCAAAAGGAAACCTGTAAGTAGGTCCTATTTTCGGAGGATGTCTTATTCTCGGGGAAACATGGTAGCTATAGCACAGTGGAATGTACCCCAACTTTGGACTTAGCTCTGATCCTAACAACTGGGACTCTGGGGCAAGTCATTTCACCTCTCTGGGCCCCCGTTTTCTCGTCTATAAAAGAATAAAAACCCTGCCTCACAGGATTAAGATGTAAATGAGACGGTGTATAAGAATCTTCCTGGCATCTAGAAAAGGTGTTAAGAATCTGGACTCTAGGTTAGGGCTCAAACACCATCTCTAGTTTTTGTTGTTAATTCTCACCTGAGGATGTTTTCCCCATTTCTTTTCAGAGAGGGTGTGGGAGGGAGGGAGAGAGGAAGGAGGAGCGGAGAGAGAAGCAGCATTGTGGGAGACACACATCTACTGGCTGCCACCCCCACGCCCCTCCACCTGACCAGGGTGGGAGCGAGCAGCCCTTGCTCTGCTTACCCTGCAGGGCCATGGCTAGTTTACCAGCTGTGTGATCACAGTGAGCCAGTCTTTCAGTGCCTCAGTTTCCCCATCTGTAAATGAGCACATACCACCTCGCTCACAGGCTTCAGGGGGAAAGTGAGGATTAATACTGTAAAGCACTGGGAACAGTGACCTGCGCATAGTAAGTATTCAATAAATACTGGCACTTTTTACTGGTTAAAAGCATGGCAGTCGAAACTGATTTGACTCAGTGGATAAAGCGTCGGCCGGTGGACTGAAAGGTTTGATTCCGGACAAGGGCCTGTACCTTGGTTGCAGGCACATCCCCAGTGGAAGGGTGTGCAGGAGGCAGCTGATGGATGTTTCTCTCTCATCAATGTTTCTGATTCTTTGTACCTCTCCCTTCCTCTCTGTAGAAAAACAATAAAAAATATTTTTTTAAAAATAAAAGCATGGATATAAGTACAACCAATAGACACAAAACTCTAGAGAGGGGGGCAATGTTAAAATATGTACACATAATAATTTAATAAAAAAATGTAAAAATAAACAAATAAAATAAAAAATAAAAATAAAAGCACGGCATTTCAAATCAGACCTGCCCAGGTTTGAATCCTGGCTCTGCCGCTTTTCTGTGTGCTTTGGTGCAAGTCGGTTACCCTTGCTGCTCTGGTTCTTCATTTGTGCACCAGAGACAATAGCAAGCCTTCTCTGGAGGACGGGTATGGAGATGGAGCTGTGTAAAGCCCAAGTCTGTTTCCAGCAGTTAGTGACAGCTCTCAAAGGGTGAGCTATCATTCTCAAATATTTCCCCCCAATTAATTTCAGAGAGGAAGGGAGGGGGAGAGAGAGAAATATCAATGATGAGAGAGAATCAACAATTGGCTACCTCCTACTGGGGGGTTGATCCCGCAAGCCAAGCATGTGCCCAGACCAGGAATCCACCCGTGACCCCTGGTTCAAAGACTATTCCACTTTATTATTATTATTATTATTATTATTTAATTTTTTTTCAAGGGAGAGAGCGAACGCAGTCCCCCACTACCACAAATGATGCAGTCGAGTTTCCCACCTTTGGGGAAATCGCAGGGGTCAGCACATCCGGAGTGCCTTGGATAAGCCTCGCCTGGGAAACCCACCTTCGTGATCATGGTACCTCCCCTGCTAGGTAAGTATCCTATTCCACTTTCTATTTCCAACTACACATGCAAACGTGCTGGAAAGGAAACTGAATTCAAATACAAGGTGACGAGGCCCTGCCATCGAGGCTGAGTGAGCTGGGCCTCCTCCCAGGAGGTGGCCCTTGGGTTCCCAGTCCGGGCACCAGCCTGGGTGGCGGGCTCCATCCCCGAGTGCCCAGTAGGGGGCGTGCAGGAGGCAGCCGATGGATGTTTCTCTCCCCCTTTCCCTTCTCTTCTCCGAAAACAAACAAAACCCCACAAGGTGACCAGAAGCCAATGATGAAAGGGTGCGCGGGGCAGTTCGCAGCAGCGCGGGGGACGCTAACAGGTGGGGTTTGGGGCCGGCCTCCCCGCTGCCGGCGGGGGAGCCTCCCCGAAGGGGGGTCCCGCTCCGGAGCCGCAGCGGCCAGGACCGCAGACGCGGAGCGGACACCGGACGGCGGTGCGGGTCCCGGGCGCCGCGCACGCGGCCACCTCGGCACCGAATGTTTGCTAAGCCCTCACCTCCCTCCGCGTCGCCGGGACGTGACAGGCCTCACGATCAGTCAGTCCCCGAAGAACCGGGCCACGCGGCAGGAGGGGCGGCGGAGACTCGGGAGCTCTCAGACCCCACCCCAGTCCCCCTTCCCCGAGGCCGGGGCGGCGGCTCCTCCCGGACTCCTCGCCAGACGGGGACCCCGGCCACGTCGGACCCAGAGGCAGCAGCACCAACCCCTCCCGGCCCTGCTCAGCCCGTTTACCCATCCTCCACCCTGCACCCAAAGGCCTCCAGCGGGGTCCCCCGAGCCAGGCTCTCGGGGTCCCCTTCCCCTCGCCCCAGAAGCCCTCTCCCGCTCACCTCCACGCCGCGCGGCTTCTCCATGAGACCCAACAGTTTCCACGACCGTCACCGGGTGCGGGAAGCCATATTGGCCTCGCCGCTCTTTCCCGCGGGCGCTCATTGGTCGCCGCCCAGAGCCGCGAGCCAATCACGCTTCAAGAAAGAGGAGCAGCCGGTGCCGCCCTCGCCTGCGCCCCTCCTCCCCCTGAGGCGGGGTATTGTGGGACTTGTAGTTCACTCATGGGAGCTAGTGGCAGGGGGTGGCGTTACAACCTGAAAATCCCCCGGGCTGCTGACGCTCTATCCATTGAGCCAAAGCGGTTTCGGCAGCCCCCCCCACCCCCCAATTACTTTTATGAGATCTTTGGGGAGGGCTCCGGCCGATTTGGCTCAGTGTGGGCCTGCGGACTGAAGGGTCCCAGGTTCCATTCTGGACAAGGGCACATGCTGAGTTGTGGGCTTGATCCCCAGTAGGGGGCGTGCAGGAGGCAACCAATCCATGATTCTCTCTCATCATTGATGTTTCTCTCTCTCTCCCCCTCTTCCTCTCTGAATAAAAATACATTTAACAAAGTCTTTGGGGAGGGAGCCGTGAGTGAGAGGACAGCAGAGTTCTCGCTCTCATGGGCCCCTCTGATCACCGGGCCCTCTGATCACCGGATCGGAAAGGAGGGTCAGTGACTGCTCTGGCGGGGCCGCTCCCCGCTCCCTGGGCCGGACTCAGTCCCCTCATCTGCTAGATGGGTTGATGGGGGCAGCTCGGACTGGCGCCCCCTGGTGGGGGGTGGGGATCTGGCCGCGGTCAGAGGTGATTGCACTGCCCACCCGACCCCCCCTCCACCCCCCGTTACCCCCGGCCCCGGGGGCGGGGCCAGCCGGGGGCGGGGCCTGCGTCACGTGGCGGCGGCGCGCGTGGAGGGAGCGCCAACCGCCGGCCGTTCGGCCCGCCGCGCCCCCGGAGCCGGTCCCGGGGCCGCTTCTGGGAGCCGCGCGGCTTGGAGCGCGGCTGCGGGCCGGCGGGTGCGGGCGGGTCGGTGACGGCGGGAGGGGCCGGAGGAGGGGCCGGAGGAGGGGGCGGCGGGCGGCGACCCCTGGAGCCACCGAGCGGACGGCGACCCGTCCCGTCCCGGACCCCCCGGGCGGGGCGCTGAGCGGGCGGCGCGGGGCGAGCCCAGCCCCGGGTCCCGGCCTGGACGCCCCGCGGCGCGGGCACCGCCGGGCACGGAGGGTTCGATACTGAGCTGCCCGGCAACGGCCACCGCCCCGCCCCGCCCCGGCCCGGCCGCCCCCACCGCCCCGCCACTGGGCGGAGGCGGAGCGGGACGCGAACCCGGGTGGGTGGCGCGGCGGCGGGCAGGCTGATGGTGGCGGAGCTCGGCCCGGACCCTCGGGGACCGGGGGGCGGTGGTCCCGGCCGCTGGCCCCTCCGCGGGAGCCGGCGGACCGGAGCGGCTCAGTGAGCGGCGCTGCCGTGTGGAAGCGCCGGCCCGGCCGGGCCACGGGGACCCCCCGGCGGCCACGGGGACCCCCCACCCCGGCGGCCACGGGGACCCCCCCACCCCGGCGGCCACGGGGGACCCCCCACCCCGGCGGCCACGGGGACCCCCCACCCCGGCGGCCACGGGGGACCCACCCCGTCCCGGAGGGAGACGGGACGGCCCACCGCGGCCCATCCACTCGGGGAGCAGATGGAGCGGCGCCACCGCTCATCCCGGGCCCTTCCCGGCTTCCCGGTAACTGACGGCCTGTGAGGGGCAGAAAGTTCCCCTCAGCCTCCCTGTGACCTCATCCCCCGCTCCCAGCTCCTAGCTACCGGCCTCGCAACACCAGCCACCTCCCAGCCACCGCCGCCCGGCGGTTTAATGATTGTTTCTGTTTTTTAAATGTTCCTTTGTGGTTTGGGCTGGATCCACCGTGAGGAGTCTTTTTGGGCAAAGTCAGGAGGGGGAAGTAGTGTGTGTGTGTGTGTGTGTGTGTGTGTGTGTGTGTGTGTGTGGGTTGAATTCTGAAAATTCCACTGAATGTGTGGGTTTTCTGGGTAACAGTTATTTTGGCGGCATTGGTGGGCAATAATCATTGGTGTCCTTTCTATCCACAGGTCCAACCTTCTGGCAAATTCTTGGAAGGATCACGAGAAGGGTAAGTAGAGATTTGGTGTCAGTTAAAGGAGCTGACATTATTTATAGGGTAATAACATTAATTGGGTGGCACTATTTCTGGATGTGTGAAGTCCACTGGCAGGTGCCTTTCCGATGCCCGTTTTGAGGGCACATTTGCTACTAACACAGGCAGAGAGGGTGTGGGGACCACCGGCCCGCTGACGATGGACAGGTGGAGAGGGGGCTGCTTCCGGCCCGCGGCGGGACGGGAGAGGCCAGAGCCGAGGAGAGGGAGCTCAGGCCAGTTAGGTACGCCGGCCTTGTTGGTGCCGGAAAAAACCTTTCACCAAACGCCTTCTCCGCGGTGGATCCAGCTTCAGAGACAGATACTTACCGAGTGCCTGCCTGTGCCAGGCGCCTCTGAGCATCGCCCTGCGTCCTCACGCCACAGCTGATCCCACGGAGATCGGTGAGGGAGCCTCAGACACGCAGCCCCAGCCCGGAGAAGGCATTGTAACCGCTGTTACCTGAGCCTGCCCCTCTGAGGGTGGGAGGGTGCTGTGGGTGCCAACAGCACCCGTTCCGGTAACACTCCCGGCACCCAAAGGAGCGGTGCGCCAGCTGGTGAGGTTGAGCCAGGAGTCAGGGTTCAGTTCCCGGTCAGGGCACGAGCTGGGTTGCAGGTTTGATCCCCAGTACAAGGAGGCAGCCGATCTATGATTCTCTCTCATTATTGATGCTTTTTCTCTCTCCCTCCCTCTCTGAAATTTTATATCAAGCAAAAGTAAGAAGCTTGTTTTTCCCACCTGGTAGCCCACATATATTTGCTTTTTCAATATATTTTATTGATTTTGTACAGAGAGGAAGGGAGAGAGATACGAATAGAGAGTTAGAAACATTGATGAGAGTCATCGATCAGCTGCCTCCTGCACACCCCCTACTGGGGATATGCCCACAACCAAGGTACATGCCCTTGACCAGAATCGAACCCAGGAGCCTCAGTCCCCAAGCCGACGCTCTATCCATTGAGCCAAATCGGTTACGGCCACACATATTTTTTAAATGGGCTTTGAATTCCATTACTGTGTGACCCTCACACAGTCGCTCCTCCCCTATGGGGATACCGATACTTAGCTCAGAGTGGTTGTGGAAGTTAAATAAGATGATGCACGTGTGCTAGCCAGTGTGGCTCAATGGATAGAGCGTCAGCCTGCGGACTGAAGGGTCCCAGGTTCGATTCCGGTCAAGGGCATGTACCTTGGTTGTGGGCACATTCCCAGTAGGGAGTGTGCAGGAGGCGGCTGATCGATGTTTCTCTCTCATCAATGTTTCTAACTCTCTCTCCCTCTCCCTTCCTCTCTGTGAAAAATCAATAAAAAAAAAAAAAGATGATGCACACAAAGCACTTCCGCTGGCCACACAGGAAGGGCTCTGAATGTTAGCGGTTACCTTTTACCAGTTCCTGGGCGTTTCCACGCCCCTTCACTGAACTCCCTGCAGAGTTCTCTTCCTGCCCCCGCCCCCCTGCCCCAGGCTGTCCTCCGCTGTCCCTGAGACCCCGAGCCAGTGCTGGGCCCCTGCTGTGAAGTCCAAGTCCAGCTGCTGCTGCATCTAAGGCTCGTCCCGGCCTGTCCTGCCTGTCTCTGCCACCCACACGGAGCATCATCCCTGCCTGCAGCCCTCAGTGGCCTCCCACCTGGTCTCCCTGCGTCCTCTGTGCCCCCAAACCTCATGCAGTCAGCGGCTGGCCTCTCAATGTGAGTCAAACACGCCACCCTCCTCCTCAAACATCCCGGCTCCTCTGGCCCCCAAACAGAATTCCCTGCCTGATCTGTCACTGCCAGCCTCGCCAGTGTCATTGGCTCCCTCATTGAATTCCAGCCCCACAGCCCTTCTTTCTGTCGCTGGCACAAACTGGTTCTTGCCTGAGGGAATTTACATTTGTTTCCTTCTAGAATATTCTTTTCCTAGATATGCTCACGCCTGGCTCCTTGCCATGTAAGTCTTAGTTTACTGTCATCTCCTCTGGAAGGCTCTCGGGAGCATGCTTGTGAAGTAGTTCACAAAGTCCTCCATCGCCCTTTTAGACTCCTGACTGACCATCACTCCTCACAAGATGGCTGACCCACGCGGAGGCCACGTTCCCATAGGAGCCCTAAGGAGCAACCAGCAGGGACCGAGGCTACGGCCTCCGGCTGCTCCCCCCCCAGAGCCAAGCCAGGGGACCTCACGCCACCCCCACCCAGCAGGGCTTGACGGGAGCTAAGCTGTGCCCCCCGTCCTGGTGCTGGGCTAGGGGGCCTCAGGCTGCTCTCTCCGCCCCAGGGTCAGGCCAGGGACCTCAGGCCGTGCCCCCCACCCAGCGGGGATTGGTGGGGGACCTCAAGGTGCACCCCTAGTGCTGGGTTGGGGGAATGCAGACCCCCCCGCCCGGTGGGACTGACGCGATCTGAGGCTCTGCTCCTCCCCCCTGCCTGGCAGGGCTTGACGGGACCTCGAGGACCTCAAGGCAGGCCCCCTGGTTTGGGCTGGGGGACCTCAGGCCACGCCCCCCATCCTGGTGCCAGGCCAGGGGACCTGAGGTTATGCCCCCTGCCCGGCAGGCTTAACAGGGTGGGACTGGCCGGGTCTGGATCTAGCCCAATGGGGGGGTTGGGCAGCTGGGTCTGGGTCTCACGTGATTTTGAGGTGCATGTGGGTGGGCTGGGACTTGACTCTGGGTCCATGGTGAGCCCCAGACTCTGACAGGAGGAAGGTTTTCATATGCATTTTACTAATTTTCTTTCACCTCTGATATTTATATTATAGAGAAAGGGCAAATAGCAATATTAAATTGTTTTCTCTAATCCCCTTTTAATGTGCATGAATTTCGTGCACTGGGTCACCAGTCATGATATAATATTGTTTGCTTATTTTCTGCCTCTTTCCACTAGAATGAAAACTCCCTGGACGGTAAAATGCTGGTACTGGTTAGGCACTATTCTAAGTGCTTTAATATATTATCTAATTTGATCCTATAACAGTTCTAAT